TTCATAGAACATCTTGCTAGCTTCGGAGCACTAAACGAGCATCCTGGATTTTCTTCACTTTTACCGTCTATGTTTGAGAAAGAACTCGTTACCACTTGCCCGAAGAAAGGTTTTTGTTTCTCATATCAAAGGTATGAGAGGAGTGCAGTGTATGTGCGTCACTTTTTTTGTGTAGTTTTTAATTCTGCGTCTGCATACTAGCAAATGAAAAGCTTCCTCTTAACGATTTTGGATAACGACTCCTTGGGGGAGAGGGGGGGGGGCTGATAGCCACTAGCTGGAGACATGGCCGGCAACATAACACAAAAAGCTCGGGAAAATTTTTCTCGGCGTAACTCTATACGTAGGGGTAATTGATGGTCCTGATCACGGTTCAGATACTATTTTGCCGCGAAGGCCATCTGGGGCCAGTACGGCGCTAAATAGCCCCGCCGCGCAGACTGACAATGATGGTAGTACGAGAAAACCTTTGCCCTAAATTAGCGACTACATTTGCAAAATTATTCTATAATTATATTTCAAAAATGAGTGTCGTGTTCCATGATCAGAGCATCGGATAACCGCCGTAACCCAAGTTTCATGAAGAGTTTTTTCGATAGTATTTCGCGAGCGCAATAATTGAGTGAGGCCTATTTGTGAACCGTTCCCGCATGGAATGTGCCTTCAAATGGCGTATATCCGAGTCATGCACACATTATGGGGCATACAGGAATACAAGAAGCAAGAAATGTGAAAAATGCAAAACAGGATGTGAAAAGATGCAAAAACAGGTCGGCGAGGGGACCCGATCCAGCATAACCCCGTCCGAGCGCCGGTCGCCTATCGCACCACACCAACTGCCACTGCGACACTGCAGATACAGGACCTGTTGAAGAGATATGCGCAGATGACCGAAAACTCCAATGGAGCTCACCGCATGCCAAGTAGACCATTTGGATTTTGACCTTATTTTGCGCTGTTCTTCATGCCTGCTCAAAGAATACCCTACATACTATACACTGTCAACGCTACAGCTAGAATAGAGGGGAATAAGGTGGTTTAAAAAGCCCATTCTTTTCGAATGTTTTTGACCTTTTTTGACATTCCCAAAACCGTTTAGCAAAAATGAACCCCATCGCTGTGGTCCTCGCATGGACCCCTACAACATGCAACAAACCGTTTTGAAAAAGCTCACCACGGCCTGAACGACCTCCCTTGTTAGAATCGCAGCCATTGGGCGAAGCGACTTTTTTGCGGCACAGCAGGTTACGATGGTTAGCTCAGGCCTATGTCTGCCTACTTTGCCCAACTTCGTCGTGATGATGCATTATGCTCTCTTGCAGATCGCTTTCTGGTCTCTTCCTCACGCTCTTCGGTGTATCATCCCTACCGCTTGTCGCAGTTGATATTAAACTCATTCTTATGGCTCAGCGGTGGTCACGATCATTGCCAGACAAAGGCCTTTTTGAGAGCCGTTTTTTTCCTCATCATCATTCATCCAAGTAGTGCTTAAACCTTCTTTTTTAAACCTCATTATCTACGACTTGCAATCGTGTGATGTGCTTTTGAGCATACATTCTCTTCGATCCCACAAGATGGATCCATAGATGAGAACACTGGAAAATCACTTCAAGGCTGTAAACACCATCTATTTAGCCCATGTGCGCTTCTAATGTATGTACACTGTCTAACTTTTTCTGGCACTTGGTTGGCCGACACTAGCGTCCTCCATGACCCACTTTGTAGGAAAAACGAAAGCACAAATCCAGTTCTGATCGCGGCCACAAACTCAAAAACTGTCCCAATTACGATGTCACCAGTGGCTTAGCACCTCTACTTCCTTGGCAACACTGAACTGTAGTAGAGGCCTAGATATGAGATTCAGATACTGCAAAATGACTGCAATGGTTTGGGCAGTTATCATTCCTAAACTGCCAACACCATGCAGTCAGTTTTGAGTTGCCTCAGCAATTATACCAAGAATTTAGGGCAATTTTGCCAAAGATTCATGACAGTGAAAGTTAACGGCAAGTCCCACACTCTTAGTGAGCTTCGGTCCTGTTCATTGCCCATACATAGACTCAGATTCCTCTCGAACATGCCTTTATCCTATCGCATGGTTGGGGGGAGAAAACTACCGCCTTTCTCCGGCTTTTACGCTGCTTTTGGCCGTTCCCAGCATCCTTCTGAATATTCCTGATTTTTCCCAACTTTCTACCACTTCACCGGGGTTGTTTCCAAAAAATCCTACTTTGTTCCTAAAAAAAATGCCGCGGAGGAAAAAGTGGAGAGCAGGAGTGGCGGGTCGGGTGGGAGGATGGCGAGATGGGGAGAGGGAGGGAGTGGGGTGCGTAACGCACAAAAGAGGATTCGGTCTGAAAAATCCCTTGCAATCTTGAGGTGCATAACTGAAGTTGTGAGATCACTGATTTATCGTCTAACTTTGTGGCTAGCTGGCCTGTCTTCTGGCTTCAGGTGGGTAAGCTGAGTGACCGGCGACTTTTTAAATTATAAATTTAACACACTGGCCTGTTAGGGGTGAGGTCCAGGTCCTATACCTGGCTGGAGTCAAGGCTTTGCCTAGAAGCCAAGCTAGAGCCATGATTAAGTTTGACTAGTGCTATTTAGCCATTTTGAGTCTCCCATCTGTAAAGAATTCTTTTCAGTTCCTGGGTTGCCACCTTTACCATACTTTCCCAAACTGAATGTCAAGAAGCAGATCAAACTCCAGTAAAATGGTCCATGAGGTGGACAGTTCAAGCAGCGACAGCTATGAATGGAGAAGTCGCAACCGCTTCATCCAGGACGTGTGTGGATTGCGCCTAGCGGCGTGCGACGAAAAAGTCTAATTGAAATCCGGTTTCATCCGTCGGCGACTGCCCCGGATCGGCCGCCGTGACTTTTCAGGATCCATGTCGCGCGGCGGTGTGGAAGGATCATCCATCGATCCCATGGAAGGCTCAGGTGCGTCTGCTACTAGTGATTCTCTCGCCGTCATCGTTGTCGACTCCTTGTCCTGACGAGCCTCCCATTGTGACGATTCAGAGTCAAACAACAGCATGTGCGATCTTCTGAGAGAAGCGTTTTCGGCCACTGTCGCCCGCGACTACGAGAAGTAAGTGATTCAGATGCGTTCGTGATGTCTTACTACCCATGAATGTGCTTCACTCATAGGCTCACCGAGTCGCTTATTCATCTTTCTCAGCTTCCGTTCAGCCATTAGTTATGCAGTTATTTTTTGCGGAGTCCTACCATGGCCTCCTTCCTGCAAAGCTTGTCCTTTCGATTGAAAAGATGGATCTTGTGCAATGATAATCAGGCCTGAGCGACAGCTCGGCTGACAACAGCTCCATATCTGAGGCTTTTCTTCTCCAAGTTCCAAATTCGACACCAGATTGATGGTCTTCCCAACATTTTGTGCCACATTGCGATCTCTGCTATTCTCTTGCATGTTTCCCTGTCTGCTTTCCCCCAAGAGTAGAAATTATCCAAAACTGAGCCACTTCAGTTGAAAGCAGGCAATTCCGATCAGGTTCATTTGGACCGGTTATGCGTTCAAACCAGCTTAAACTGGCTCTCATTAGGTTTTCAGATTTCGTTTCTGATCGGCCGTTCCAGACGTTGACAGGCTTCCTGTTTTTATATAGGTTATTAAGTTCAGATGAGTGAACGCCATTGCTCTGCATTTGCTTTGCGCGTTTTCCGATCCCAAGGGCACGGTTAAAAGCTTGAGAATCAGCGAACATCACTGGACTGTAAAATATTCCCACAATACACTCCCCTCCTCAAAATAGTTCGAATGAGAGCATAGAGAAACCTCCCATCGGCTTCCAGGAATAACAAAGGTACATATTCTGCCCCCAAACAGTGTAAGCGAAGGGAGGAAATGGAAGTTATAAACAACCAAGAAATTTTTGTCAGGTTATATACGCCTTTCCCACAGACTAAATACGATTCCTCCTCCCATGTTGATTCCCACAGACCTGTACATTATTGGGAAGGTCAACATTTCTACTGCTACTACGACTACTACTGCTACTAGTTATTTACTAGTTCTCTTTTTCTGGAGAGCCTAGGTCAACGAATTGGCTCAGAGAATGTGATCTTTTTAAATGCGCGTGTCACGCTCACCGTATGGGTGAGCTGGCCTTTCTATTGTGTGTCCCTCTTTATGAAGAAACCCGCCAATAGGGTGGGGGCGCTCGTAGCTAACAGTGATTCCGCCCCTAAGATCAAGCGCTTGTGACTGACAGCGACCCCGCCCCTACGATCATACGTGAACTGTTCCTCTGAAAAAGAGATTCTGGAAGGCATGGGTAGAGGGACTCAAACATGGATTTGTAGGTATCTGCTTCAAAGGAAAAGTCAAGGAAAGATGGAAGGAAGGAAAGACAGATTGAAGTTGTCGCAAACGCTCCAAAACATAAGGCAGGGTCGATTTTCCACAGTTGAACGAGAATGCTGTGAATAGAGACCCAGGGCATCTAACTTGAGGGCCAGAGACCAGAAAGGAATAAGTCGCGCCATATTACTGCATGCACAACAAGGGCAGTCAGCATAGTGTTGAGGGAATCGACCTGACCACTATGCTTCTATTCTTCCTTCATGAGCATCTGAATTTGGTTTGGCGTGGCTTCTGGCCTCTATAATTGGTGGATCTTTCCTTCATACCATAGTGACAGCCGGCTCGCCATACTGAACGTGTGACTACTGTAAGGCTACTGCATAAAAACCTCAACCTGATACGGTAAGAATGGATCTGGTGGCGTAACGGATATGTAGCGCACATTCCCGAAAAGCGTGAGATGCAAGTTCGGGTACCGCTCGGGGTTAGGACTTCTGCCCACAGCTCAGCATTCTTGCGACAACTTTGCCTCTTACCATTAGTTTATTTGGTGGAAGGAACACTTTCTAGGCCTCTTGGGACCTGCCCTCCTTATGCACCAAAAGGATTTCGCCTTCTTGGTAATTGCACAAAGTATATTGACGCGTTTCCATCCAGCCCGGGAACTATTAAAATCATGGCAGACGTGGATATTCGACATGAATGCACCGAAAACGATGTGGTAATACAGTAAACTACATATCTGCGATTCCGGGTTCGGTCTAAGAAGAGGGAAACTATGTAAGCACCCCGTCTTAGCACTTAATGTTTACTGCCTCATTCAGGAACTATTTCCTTGATGTCCTTCCCCCTTTTTATGGAATCGTTCGAGCAGTTAGTTGACCATTTTTATTCTATTCTGCTGGACACCATTTTACTCAGGATTTTCACCTTTATTTGAACGGCTGGGTCTTTCAAAGCATAAAGGGGTCTGCACTCACAGGAACAATAGAAATTTCAGGGCGGTCTCGGTGGTGCGATGCGCGGTAGCCACTGACTATGCGTTCGGTGTTGAAGATCTCGAACTCATGGATCACGTCTACGCTTGCATTCTCAACACATCGCATTACGACGAAAGCGTCATTGAGGTTAGTGAAAACTCCATCTCTCCTCTGAATGTTTACGATGAACAGTTATTGTCGAAGGGGTTCCATTCCCGATCTTGCCACTCACTTTTAGATTTTCATTAAATTTCTCCAGCTGCGTGTTAGTCAGAAGAAGCAATTTTGGCGTCATGCGCCTGAAGCTAAGGAAACGAAAAAAGTGCTACGACCTTAACCCTGGATCATGCCTACCTCAACACATCTTGCCCTACTGCGAGAGTACAAGAGGCAGAGTACGTGTGGTCTACGGACAACCCAAGCTAAAGCCCTTTAATTCCGCAACTTTCTGCTTTTATCTGCGCTCTCGAGCTTGCAAGCATTTATGTCCACTTAATTATTTATTTATTTATGATCTTACACATTTCAACTTTTCACACTTGATAAGTGACTCAGTCATCCCATTTCTCCTCCCTTTTGAAAAACTCGTGGCACATGTTTTTCTTACTTTTCTATTCCTTGGCTGCCGCAGTCCCCTGTTTCTCTGCGCCCTGGCCTTTCACGCCAGGCCCCTACCATAAGTCCTAAGTGTCATGCAACCGGCACCTCTTGGCGTTGGGGAGAAATTTTTGCATAGTTCGACCTAATTCGATAGTCCATTGTCTAGTGCAACACATTGCCTTCCGATCTGAGCAGGTTCTGGGGCCTAGATTCATAGTTTTTAGGCTTTACCTCAAAGACTTAGGTTTAATGACTGCGCCCATGATTGCCAGATGGGCGGCGCAAGCAAAGAAGTCATTGGAGCATGCGCTGTGAATGTCCAGTCGTGTATCAGAAACCACACTTACTAACATCCCCCTCCCATCCACCAGCCTCCCCATTTCTTCCAATAACATTCAAAAAGATTCGCTTTCCGTTGATTGTTCCACAGCAAGCAGTTTCTATACTCTAGTTCGCTGCGGACGGTTGGGCGTGTCAGGCAGTATGAGTGTGTCACGCCGTCAAAGCCGTTCTCTGCCTTCTTGTTGAAGTGCGCATGCGACAAAAAGTAGAAAACGAATAATACGTATGATACAGTCATATCACTTGCTCGCTTTAACAACTGGTGGAGAACGGGTTTGGCACCGCGCCAAACTCATCCCGCCTGACACGCCCAACCGTCCGCAGCGAACTACACTATAAATTGTGAACTTATCGGAAGATGTGTGGATGGAGGTACGAGTGACGCACAGGATTAGATGATCGCCACAAATGCCGATTTTCAGGTGTGCTGGGAGTGGATTGATGCTTTGGAGCGTGCACCACGTTTGAAAGACCCTCGTGTCGTGTCCAGCTCTCAACTGAGTATCTACTACGCCTATCACATGGTAAGAGATTCTCACATTTCCGAAGGTTTTTCTGCTCTGCTGAGCCTCCGAAAGTATTAACGCTTGTTTTCGTGGTGAGACCCGCATTTGCTTTTAACAGTATGAATTTAAATGTTTATCAGTGACTGTGACAATAGGCCAACCTATGTTCAGACGTTTTCGCTGCCACCAGAGAGGGGTAAGGTGGGGATAGTTGAAGCAGTGCCATCCGTTCATCATTTTTTAAGCGGGCAAACGATACGAACTGGTGGATACGTACAGTTTTTTCGATGCAGACGCTCGGCGTGTCATGGGGCTAAGTTTGGCGCTACCGACGCCATGCCAAACCTGGCCCAATGATACGCCCGGTGTCTGCATCAAGAACAACCATACGTCAGTATGTCTACCCTCCTGGATCGATTTGTATAGTGGCGGTTAACCCCGGTCTTGAAGTTACGCAAAATCTGCTTGATCTGGAAGAAACTAAGACTAGAGTTTGCCCCCTGCCCCCCACCCTGAGAGCGGTGGTTGACTAGTTGCCACAGCCCCATCTGCGTTTGGAAAATCGAAATGAAAGTGGAGTTGCATTGCATGGAACGAAAACGAGTATCCTCTGACATACTTGTTGTCGCCTTCCTCTCCCAACTGATACTCTTCCCTCTCCCACCTCACCCTCCTCCCAAAACTGAAATAAACGAAAATTGTCCACTCGGAGATCACGAGTTCTGTTTTCGTCATGAACTTAAAGTTTTGAGATCCGATTAGATTAGGACGTGAGCTAGTCGCATTCTATCAGGTCGCGCATGTGGGCAATTTTTTTCATAAAAAGCGAATTCGTATTTGGGGAATGGTAGTCCGCTTGATAGATGGCCGCGACAAATGTTGCTCCAGATTTGCAGAGCTATATGGTAGGGGCGTTAAGACGCATGGCTAATTCTAAGCATAAGTGACTCCACCTGGCATTGATATCTGTCGTTTCAGTCGCCTGTATTTTCATTCCTGTTGCCTGACCCCTCGTCTGGTGCTTCAGTGTCATTCACAGCCTGGAGCAGGTTCACATACACCTTTCTTTCAGATTTCCCGAGTACAGGAGCGGATGCCTCGTCGTGCCAATCATGCTCAGGCGCGAGCGGATGCGTGGCGTCGAATCAAACGAAGCTTTGAGTGGGCTTTGCACTATTTTTTGTCCGCTTTCGTACGCAAACAGACTGTCCCTTTCAGTTATCTGTGGTCGGCCGCCGTCCAACTATGGAAGCCTTTTGAACTGGATCGTCTTGACATTCTCTGCAGCTGGTCCTATCTAGCGCTACAGTTTTCTGATGCCGTTGACGAAGATACACTGGAACTTATCGAGGTCTGCCTTTGGTTTGCAATTATGGGATGGTTGCTTGTTAGGTACACTCGTAATCTTGGGATGTGGTAGACGTGGCTGAGTAATTCAACTAAACCGGCGGTGGCTTGGCTTTTGGTGAGATATTTTCATTTTGGAACAATTGTGATCACGTCTCTGCACAACACTGAACAAGATGACAGCTGTATCAGACTGAAATATCCCATGAGCAACCCGTTCTATGCCATGTTCAAATGCCACGCCCAATCCGTCCCAGGGATAAGGAGTGTGCCTACACCATCCTGCAAAAATCGATGATCATAAACTTTCGTAGTTTTGCCAACTTTGGACGATGGATATTTGACAGAATATGTATGTGGTGGTGATAAATTCTGCGTTTAGAAGTATATTTGTAATATTTTAGACGGCGAAGTGTCAAGCAGCACATGTCCTCGCGACTACGATCGTTGTCGAGAACGCTCATCAGGCGAATCAACGAGTGGCAACAGTTGAGAGAAATCTCAAGGAGGCAAAGGCATTGGCTGAGAAATTGGGGAAGAAGGTGAGCCGACCGTGAAATTATTGGAGAATCTGTTGTAGAACGTCCGTCTATGATTCTGTACAGATACCATAACCTCGCTCGCTCTCCTTTTTGCAAAAAAGGCAGGGGATTCGAGAAGCAAAAAAAGTTGCAGATAGTGTCCGTAGGCTCTGCACGAACATGAGCTAACAGTTCTGGGTTTCGGTTCAAGAAATTTGATGAGATTCATCAATAACGTCAGAGCCCATAACCTTCTAATTTAAGGCAGTTGGCACGATAAATCTCTAAAGAGTGTACGATTAGTACGACTGGCATAACAGAATTCCGTGACCATGAGCAAGCGCTGTGTAGAACCTTTCCGCCGGATACCCCTATAACGCCCTTCCGAGCAACAACATACCGCACCGAATGGCTTCCTCGCCCGCCCGCCCACTGCTGGACGTACCACGTGGACGTGCCATTGTGGACCGCACGTGTCTAAGTGTATGAACCGTTCGTGCCTACGTGTAATGTAGTGTAATATAATCCACTGAGTTTGTCTGTTGGTGGTGTGTGTGTGTGTGTGTGTGTGTGTGTATTGTGCTTGACCGGAAATTCATAACTTCCTTCAAAACAGCGACAGAGCTCAAACTAATAAGTGATGTAGGGGGTCGGGCAGGAACACTATTGGTGGGTGGCAGGAAGTGATAACAGTTGATAAGATACCATAACAGGCCTTAGAAGGGGAGGGTCACCAACATCATAACGCGCGTCACAGCGACGGCAGAACGTCGTTCCCAAGAAGTAAGATAGGGGGCAGGATGGAACATTATTGATGGGTGGCAGGACGTGATAACAGCTGATAAGATACAATAGGGGGCCAGAGAGAAAGCCCACAAAATTCAAGTCGTAACAACACTGGGGAACTGCTTCCAGCAGGTAATTCAGAGGTGGTTAGGTTAACATTGGTGGGGGGAGATGAGTTGTGATATAGTTCAACAAGGGTCAGTATATGTGGCATATTTACACTCCTTATCCCTGAGCCAGAGTAGGCGTGGCATTTGAACATGGCACGGAACTGGTTACTCGTGGAATATTCCAGTCTGGGACAACTGTCATCTTGTTCTGTGTTGGACAGAGACACGACAACAATTGTGTCAAGGTAAGTTGAAGCATGCTGCCACGCCTACCCGATCTCACGGATTCCGAGTATATCTGCTCTCAACTGAACTGACCACTGCGGCCTAGGATTCAGTTGGGAAAGGCTTAGTCTGGTGTAGTGTAACGTAGAGCGACGTAGAACGTACTGCTGGCTTTTTTGCAGCAGTAAACGGTCTAGTTGATAGACTCGTCCAAAGCAGCGCCCGCCCAGCCGTTCGCTCGTCCACCGCCGCAGTACAGCGTAGAAATAAAGGCCCATTTCGATGTTTTCCCCCACTATTTCGCCCATTTTTCACTGTTTTTGCGGTGATGAGCACCTTTGCTCCTTTTCAAAGCGTACATGGAATCGTCGTGCCAGCTGCCTTTAAGACAGGCTGTAGAATCGCTCCTGTGGATCTTGGTCTTTGCTGTGTGCGGAGTCGCCAGTTCATAGCAGTGGCAGAGTTCCTTCTCTAGCTTCTCCGGTCACAGGTGCCCGAAAACGGGGCTGGAGGGTCGCTTGTGTTACCCGCCCGCGATGCCGCACGGCCAGCCATACGTCTAGTCTCGTCTCTTCCGATCGTTCCTTACCGTTAAAGGCACATTCCGCGATAAAATAAGGCTATGACCTCTCAAATGTGTCGGACGATCCGGAAGGCGATTTTTGAGGCTGCGCTACTTTCAAAATGTGAAAAACGGCAAGAACTCCGCTAGAAGCTGACTAATTAGGCCCATGGACACCCCTTAGGCCCATGCCGACCCTCACCGGCTGCTAGCTACTAGCTAGTAGCCACTATGTTATCTTTCTCTACATTTCGGACTGCTTTTTCTGCTGCTTTTCTCCGCTAATCAGATACTTAGCACTTTTTTGTGCCTATTTGAGTTCCGTTTCCCGCAATTTGCGGTCGCGAACTGTGCCTTTAAATGCATGTTTGCAACGGGATCTTGATATCGACGCAAGTGCTGCGTTCGGATAGCTCAGACGGAGTATGGAGGCAACATTCGCATACCACCATGTTTAGGCTCCGTTCCCGTGCACTCTTGAGTGGTAGAAAATAGTACACTGCTGAAACAGCGCTATCATATCGCTATCACTTTCATTTTAATTTGTGTGGTGGCTGCGACGCATTGATGAATGTCTCATTTCCTGCGATCGAAACTCACGCTTCACTCCTACCTCGTTACTGTTCTCAGTTCCAAGCTTGATTCTTAATTGGAATTGAGAACCTTACTTGTATGATCCTATCCTTTCACTGAAATGAGGAAAACGTTTCAGTTCGGCACTAAAGAACAGGCTGTGACGATTTCGTTGATGTCGAACGAAGGCGAAGAGGAAGGTGAAGGCGTTCCAGCGAAGCGACGTAAGGAAGAGGAAGAGTAGACCGTCAGAGGGTCCTGACACATCCGGTGATCCGAAGGATAAGATTCGTATCTTCTTATTTGTACGTGTCTGTGTTTGTGCGGTGGCTGCAGTTGAATTTTTTGATCTCTCAATTTTTACACATGCATGATGAATATTTCGAAAAAATATCGAAAAAAATGTACAAAATGTATGATCGCAGCAATGAGGAGGTGAGTGCATTCAACACTACATACACATCAAGCGAAAATGACTAGAAAAGGGACCATTGGGAGATACTTTTTCAAGCTGCACCATATGGAGCACTACCGTACAGCTGGAACTCAATTGGAGTGCAATAAAATCTAATGGTCGACAAGATCGGACAGAGCATCGTTGGTGACAACTTTTTCGTCGACTTCAGACTTTTTCTCGGTGTCCTCACCTTCTTCTTTCGCTCGCCGCTGCTTCTCCTGTTTTCTGTACTTGGCACGTCTATTTTGGAACCAGACCTAAGAGAAATGCTTCCATGAGCACTTGCGTAAATCTCGTTGGCATATTGACATACCTGAACCCTGGCTTCAGTGAGATCAATCCTCATAGCTATATCTTCCCGGGTATAGATATCGGGGTAGTGACTCTCCAGAAAACTCCTTTCTAATTCCTTCAACTGACCGGACGTGAACGTTGTTCGAATTCGTCGTTGTTTACGCCGCTCTGGATGGATTTCCGCACAGTGCGCCTGGAAAACTCTTTGAAGTAATCAGTAAAGTGACCTCAGACATTTTTATATGGTCCCATTGCTTCCCATACTTTAGCTGTTAATAAAGGGTAGATTTCCTTGGTCCCGAGTCACGGCAAGCGCAGCTAAACAGACGTTGCAATCTGCAGTATTCGCACCAGGACCCAGTCAACTACGCTATAATGCTGCTTTACAGAAGCCATCTAGCTAGTAAATACTTGTCAGTTTGCCTGTGATCCGTTGATAACGATATGCTACATCAATGAGGGTGTTCGTTACAAGCGACGAGGAAAGCAACACGTTCAGAGAACGTCTGAAAAATGGGGAATGACACGTGCATTTTTGCATTAATTTTGAAAAAATGAATGTTATCAGCTGTGATGGTCCATCACTTACAATAGAAAAGGGCCTTGCTTCAGCCAATGTTCGGCGCATTTCAAGGAAAAGTCAAGGACGACCAAAGGCATGTCGGGAGAGGAGTCTTGAAAGCGAGAAGCTCTAACATTTACCCTCTCAGGAAAAGTTTTTGAAAAGGAGTCAAAGTAGAGGAAGCGCGAAGACGATCGGGTGACATTGACACATTAAGAACATCGCATCGTTTCTGCACGGTCCAGTGAGTAGAATGTCGCCCGGACCATGTAAGACATCTGTCTCCATATCCGCTCACTCTGTCTAATTGAAAAGCCTAATGAGTGACGCGTTTCATACAGGATACTATTCACCGAAATCACTGAAATTTCCGAGTCTCCACTGTTCTATTCTGCCGTTTATATGTCCGGTGTATGGTTGTGAAAAAATTGCTGCTTCTGCTAGCCTAACAGAGCCGGATTTGCTCACAAACAAAAACGTGTCTGGAAGAGCTGAGGAATAAAGTCACCTCAAAAAAATTTAGAGTTGCCTCGCTATTCGGAGTAATTTTAGGTGGAAGTGTTCGTCTCAAGTCCCGCATGGACTGCGGTACTTGAGACGAAACTTTTCTATTTCTCATGTATCTCCGCTTCTCTTCTACAAATCCGTCCTTCGAGTTCACCGTCATTCGTTCACTTTCGGCCTCCCTCTCGCTCGCCATGTTTGAATGGACTTAGCCCCCTACTTACTTTTTCAGATTTGTCTACTGTGGGACACCTCAATTCTCCCCTTATTCTCCTTTGTTATACCTTATTGCTCTGCAGACACCTTGTCGCACTAATTCCGAACTCGATTTCAAACCACACATTTTTTAGACCTAATTGTTAGCCTCATCCCAAACTTGAAACCGAATACCTAGAAGACCGACGAATTAGGCGCTACTTTGAACTCGCAATATGTTCATAAGTGAGTCCCAAGTTGGTTCCATGGAAGACATACGTTGTAAGTGCAATTAGACTGGAGTCCAGCTTTCCCCTCGCACATCTCTCACGAGCAGAACATAGAAGTGGTAAGCCACAACTGTTCGAGTGCTTTCGTACTTCGCAATCTGGTCGCTCTAATAGCGCGATCAGAGCAATCGGTGCCGTTTGGGACTGATCGCGCACTTCGTGCCTGCAATCGTGAATTATGAACGCGTCCCTCCCTCATAAGAGCAGCCGCATTCGCGCACGCAAGCGCCTTACTAACAATAAGCATAAAGAACATAGGGTCTCCTATAA